CATGAAGTCATTGCGTTGCACACCTTCACGTTCTCTATACTCCACCGTTTCACGCACAACACGCATAAAAAATTCATCTACATCATCATGTGTCAGTTTTATATGTAGCTTCCGTCCCAGTTCCGGGAAAGCGTTTAGTATCGAATTCATTATTTTGCCATAACGTTGTTCAGTAAATACCTTGCTGCCCATGCGCCGAAATAACGTTTGTGGATTCTTCAGACTATTACACTCAAGACCAAATGCACATGTGCCTATAACATCTGTAGTAAAACGTGCTAACAAGTCTTTGATCTCTATAACAGTTTCTTGTGTGTCCATGGCTAAAGCATTCACTTTTTGTTCCTTCTCAACTAAATCTTTAAAGACGGAAACGAATTCATTGGCCACGTGTACCACAGTGGGAAACATGAATTTCATTTTACCAGAAGTGAAGGTCGGCGTTAATTTTGTGCGCATCGTGCGCCATTTTGGTCCAGCTAAATTAACCAAATGACCTGAGAGTGGATCATCCTTTTCATTATAGTAATTGCCACGATGCGGAAAATTACCAAAATCTTTGATTAATATATCCTTTACTAGCTCAAGGTCAAACAAGACAATTGCCGGCCGCATAAACAAGTAGAAGCCACCAAAAGGTGCTTTGTTTTTGTATTTCATATAGAAATCACGAAATGGTTGCACAAGTGGCTTTGTGCGCCCGAACTCACGTAAATTTCCGTAGAGGAACGTTGGTTTATCATGCACTACTCCACGTCTCTCCCAATAGGTGAACCGTTTATGCAAAAACAACGAAATCAACAAAAACAAACCGCATAGCAAACATGCAAGTACGTAGAGAAACATCATCTTCGTGTTTCGAACTATGAGCCACAACTGAATGACTGGATTAGAAAGTGGCACAATCGAACTACATTTTTTCTTCATGGAAATGTTACAGCAAAATGAAAAATGGAGAAATGATTTATTTATTGTTGCTTTTTGTTATTTCATTGAAGCTTTTGTTATTGTTATTGTTATTGTTGTTGGTGAAAAATTTGTTTTGGTTGTGTTTTACTTTCTACCTTTTTATTGTGAGAAATCGTGCAGAGATGATTATTAAGTCTTGACCACTGGCTTTATCGAGTAGTTTTTGATGAGCTACAATCGGTCAAATGTATATATGTTCTGTGTATATAATAAATAATGTGAATACAAACAAAATAAATACGCCACAAATCAATTATATAATTTAAGCAGGCACCAGGGGCGTTCCCAGGTTAGTGATAACGTGATAAACCTCCCCTACACACTATAATCTAAAGATGATTAATATAGTGGATTGCAAAAATATGGCCCAAAAAATATTTATTATAATATTTTTCTCACTACGCACCGGCTGGCACACAACTTAAAACTTTCATCTGATACAGATAGATATATATAGATAGACGTATATAGATAGATAGATATATATTTTCATAAGACAGGGCCATAACAATACTTTTTATATCTTCCAATATAATTTAAAAATTAAACAACAGTAAGAATTATAGTGATTAAGGATCGTGTATGATCGAGGATAACTTAAAAGCAATTAGTGGTGACGTTAAGTAAGCATAAAAATTAACTTGCTCGTTCATATATCTATGAAACTATAAAAACATATACCGATTACAAATTGTAAATAACAGCGTAACGTGAACAACAAAATCAGTTCAAATTTAATAAACTCTCAATTTAAGAAATAAGCGATACAAAGAATGTTTAAATACTTGTATACCTATATATACCATGTTCATTTACCATACCATTTATATACCAAAAATGTTCTCTCCAACTAACAACTAATGTTGCCTATAAAATATGTTGAAAATAATGAATGGCCTTAACATTATATATTTTATAGTATATTGTGGGGTATAACTCAGCGAGTGTACCAGCTATAGATAGGGCCGGAAAAGGTCGTTACAAGTTTCATAGAATTTGGTCCTCACAATATATACCTAGAGCCGAGCCTAGTATATATAGTTTTAATATAGCATACAACATAATTCCTATTAGCTAGACACTTTTTGTTAGTTTTAAATATTTTTCGGTCTATAATATCACTCAATTTATTATCTTTTATAATTGCAAAGAAGAAGGTATTCATCACCAGCGTTCAATTTGCACCTAAGAAAGTCATATCTAATTAACTGAGTAGTGTTAATTTTTTAATTTAGCAAAAAGTTTTAAAATCATTGAGGCAGGTCGCTTAGGTTAATTTAAATTAATTTAGTTTAAATATAAGTAAATGTTTTTAGTAACAAAACTAATGCTGAAATAAGTGCATTAGGTCAGTAATATCTTATTTCTGTTTTAATTATTTAGTTATTAAATTTTTATTTTTAACTTAGATTTTTTGATAATAATATAAAGAAATAATTGTTGGATAAGTTTGATATATATAATGAATATTCGTCAGATTAGTAGCATCTGGTTTAATTTATACGACAGATGTTTTTAAAAAAATCTTTTTCATCTTGTAACTAAAATTGGGAAAACAAAAAGATAATCGGTCATTGTTTTTTTTTTCATCTAACTTCTACTATAATTATATAATGGAGCCTACAGTTCCTATACGTATGTGACTTCATGCCATAGACAAATAGCATGGATTACAAAATCCTTCCACCGATATGAGCTATGTTTTATATGAGAAATTTCCCTTGTGCACAGATCTTAAAACATATTTGAAATATTATGTAGTAACGATACAATTCTGTGTTCTTTCGAGGCAAAAGACAACAACGTGAAATATAAATTATTGTAGTGCTGCTATAAAGCATATATGGTCTGTATACTTAAAAATTCTTATTAGGTTTAAACATTTTCACATACATATATTAAATCAATTGAGATTTAATATGTTTCCCTATTTAAAGTTAAGCACAAACTAAATACACATTTAGGCTATATTTATGTTCCAACATTTAACTATTATCTCTCAAGGGAACACAGAATTGTGTCGTCATTACAAACTTTTTTCAAAATTTTTCTTAATTTACGCAAGAACTTTATTTTATGTTCAAATAAAGTTCCCGTCTGTGGTTGAATATCCGAGTTAAATCGGTTTAGAATCGACGTAGTTCTTGAGCGAAAATTAACCAAATTTGAAAAGTCAATAATATAATTATAATAGTGCTGCTATGAAGCAAGCTTGTCTCACACAAGTAAAATTGAAAATTCTCATTAAGTTAAAACATTTTCATTTATAAAACACAAATTGAGGAATTCTCAATATAATTTGATTTTAATATAAAATTAACATATAGTAGATAGATATCAAAACCGTCCTGCCTTGTTCATTTTAAATTTATCATGCGATTATACTTTGAATTGATGTCACTGAAGATAGTGATTTTGTAATGTTATATCTTTCAATTTGTTGTTGACTAAGGAATGATATTCGTTACCGATTTTGATAGGACACTTTTTGATTTATGTCCGAGGTTTTCTTAATGGAGTTAATCAATTTGTTCAAAAATAGTCCCCGAGTAGAAAACAATTATTAAAGGTCGAATAGATGAACAGTTTCATTTTATATATTCCCTTTTAAAGCATCAATATGTAATCGCTTGACATATGGACAATTAGACAAATGCAACCAAAAATATAAATATGTCAACATGAGTAACATATTAAAATGATTATTTGCACCAATATGATAAACAGTTAAAGATGATATATTAGCGTTAGTGCGAGTGATACTTATCTATCAAATGATCTGTTTTACGTTAGAAACCTGAATTTAAACAGATTTTGTTGTTTACGTTTATGATATAGTTTAGCCACACTATTATAATATAATTAATAACTCCGGAAATATGTCTACATTTTCCATAAAAAAATCACATCATAAGTATTTGTATTTATATAATGGAACTGTATGGTGTTTTAAATGACATGATTATACAGTTTGTATGGGGTATATTATTAATACCACAGGCAAATAGTTCAAAGTCCATAATAATAATTTTACAAGCTCCGTTGTTATTATATTACTGTTGGGTTACACGAGATACATATCAGTTATATTGTAAATAAAGCTTACTCTTATTATTAAGCAAAAGAAAAAGAAAATCTGTGTCACTTGTTACGTTTTTGAAAGAAATAAGCTGACGAGCACTGATCTCATTATATAAACATCAGATCATCTAGATTATCACACATATTGTACGTTTAGTTTATCTTTATGAGCTACCTGAAGTAAATGTAGATATGTGGTACTCGTAATTATCTGCATATGAACACGGTTGCCACTTGAAAATTTTTTCCTGTACCAAAATTGGTTTAAAAAGGTACCATTTCTGTAAAAAAAGGTCCAAATTTTTTTGGACCTTTTTATTTTTTCGTTCTGTGTTTTTCATAGTGTTATAAATGAACAAAATATAAAATAGTACAAAGTTGATTTATAAAAAAAATTGTTTGGAAATATCCACAATAAAGTTGGGTCGTCAAAAATGTACCATTTTTTAAACATGAGTACCAAAAACGAAAAAACGAAAAAAAAAGTACCAATTTTGGTACTAAAGTACCATAAGTGGCAACCGTGCATATGAATAAACTTCCAGTCTCTGTTCTGATTATATATCTTTATATCTGATTACACATGTTTTATGTTCAGTTAAGTTTATCCTCATAAGTTAGGTGAAGCATGTGAAGGAAGGTGGTTCCTAATCCTAATATAGAAGTGTCAGTTCGCCACTCTTAACCATGTTCAGGAGCATAAATTCTTAGACTTTTATAAGTTCTTAGATTATTATTTGAAGCAAAACTTTCTAAGAAGTAACTTTACAGGCCATAATCTTATTATACTAAGTCATCCAGAATATCATATGTGTTGTTGTTTAAATTTACCATATTAGCTAGCTGAAGAAAGTGTAAATAGGTGTCGCTTGTAAACATCTTCATGAAAATAAATTCCGAAACTTTGTTCTCGTTATATTTATGACTGATCACGCTAAATATTAGAAAAGTTTTAATTTAAGTTTACTCTTACTAGCTCCTAAGCTCTGATTTTGATATACTCATACCAGACCTTCCAGAATACTACAGATGTTATAAGTTTAGTTTAACATTTTTAGTTAATCGAAGAAAGTGAAGATAGTTGGCACTCGTAATCATCTCCAAAGTACAAGAACTGGCATCCCTAGAAAAACATCATATCTAATTTTCTCTATTATTTTATATGATTTTATATATATTTACTCAAAATATATAAAAGAAACTTAAAGAAAGTGTGAAATATACATTAATATAACGTAAGATATAAAAGAAATTAAAAATGTTTTTATTTTGCAGTAGGGCACATTATATAGTAAATTTTTTAAAGACTCCAGAAGTGCAGCAATTTATTTTTAAACAAGCTAAAATTAAACGTAATTCGTATCTGCATAATTTTATTTTTAAGCACGTGAGCGCCGGGCGCCCGTGTTATAAATACCCCAGGAGCAAACATCACATTACATATTTTTTGAACTGAAGCTTTATGTAAGTGAATATAGTACTACAGCAACAACAACAACAACAACAACAACAACAACAACTTACTTTATTGCAACACGTAATTTCCATAATCCTCTTGAAATTTGTGGCACAAATGTGCTGCCATGGAAGTAAAAACGTACGAAAAAATAAACTCTTGCACCTCAAAAATATAAAAGCAAAGACAGAAAAGCGTTACAAATCAAAACAAAAAAAAACCAAAAAAAAAAAAGAAAAAAATCTGCGGAGGGAAAAAAATGAAAATATAAATAAAAATGTATCTCAGTTCAGTTCAGCTCAGCTCAGCTCCCATTTAAAATTTGTTTAAAATAAAAGTAAAA